CGGCCATCCTTCCCCTAGTGTAGCTTGATGTTCCTCAACCAAGGTGGTAATCATCTCCCCATCACCATGCTGAAAGGAACGCTGGGTACAAATGTTGCCAATCTGTATGAGCTGAAGAAGGCTAGCTAGGATTTTTGCTGATGTTGATGCAGGATCTCCAACTTTGAAATGAGGTATCCAAGCCAGTACAATGAAGACTTTATATAATGAATGCCATTCAGCAGCTTTGGGAGTCCCTGCACTAGCCATTCCAAAGTTCTTCTGAGGTCGAGTGAGCCAGGAAGGGGCTTTTGCTTGCTTGATACAGAGTTGAAGCAAATCAAGCTCATAAGCCGTGATCTCAGGAATGATGGCTGGAGGCGGAGGTGTAGGTGATTGAGAGCGGTCGGATCCATCGCCATTTTTCTTTCTACCTCTTATTGTATGGTCAGATCCCCCTGATGACGCCATATCCTGATGGAGATTAGAGGATGCAGCCAATCGAGTATCATAAGAATGGCGGGACGGAGGTTGGGGAGGAGGCATATTGCTTGTGGAAGCTGCATCATTGGTTGCAGGTGGACTAGGGGATGCTGATCGAGGTAGCTGCACATCATACTGCCGGTTACTGAATTCCATTTTTTTTCGTTTGGCTTCGAGAGCCTCGCCTGCAGCAGGTACTTGAATATACTGTGTTGAAAAGTCTTTGTACGGACCAAGGAAGATGTTGTGCATGATATCAACTGAAAAGAATTCAACAGCTTGCCAGTATGGCAGCTCATGAAGGATACTATATTGAATTCCCGTTGTCTTTGCCAGTTTAGCTTGCTCACTTGCAGTTTTGAATTGTTCCCATTCTACACCTTTGATCTCAACTCCCTCAGAATTATGGAGTTCAACTTTTGGTGCTGGTGATTGAGAGTGGTAGAGAGTCCGATCTATGTGACAGAGAGAGCAAAAACATGTGGACGAGTGTGAAGTTCCTCCGGTGACCTTTTTCATAGCTGGAACGTCACCATGAATAGGCCATAGTGCAGCCCGGAGGATACGCCCTTTAGGATGGTTCGATGTTGACGTGAAGGTAATGTCGTCCCAGAACTCCGCCATTTCAGTGACTAGAGGTTTGATAAAGTGATTCATTTCCGAGAGTGATGGTTCAGATGGACCTGGCATGATACCATAGATGCAGATGTTCTCTTTTTTATATCGTATTGTTGGTGGTAGATTGAAACAGGTGAGGAGCATGACACCAACTGAAGTCTTTGTTGGTGCATTCTTGCCACCAGGATTGAACCAATCACACCATAATCCGAATACAAGGTTACCTGACCTTGATGTGAAGATGTAGCTGTCTTTCTTAAAGGTTTTCCACAAAGTACCATCCCAAATATCATCCATTCTATCATTGGCTGGTTGCTGACGATGAAGGTGTGCGTCAATTGCTTCTTCAAAGTAATGACACTGGAGCATCTTTCCAAGCCACAAACGTAACGACTGATAGAAGAAAAGCCTGATGGGTTTCTGAACTGTTCCTGATGATATTTCATAGAGAGGAGATTGACAAGGTTCTTTGGGAAGAGTAGTTGACGCTTTCGTAGTAAATTGTGGGACATCACAGAGTGGAGCTGGTGATGAATTGAGTGGTAAAAGTGCTTGAATTGAAGACAAAGCACAACAGAATGGGCAACATATTTGTGATTGGATGGTTGTCTCAAGTTTCAAAATCTTGAAAAGTGCAGGAAGGCCGAGGGGGATCTGGTTCCAAACTTTCTGTTTGGTTGTTGGATCTTGTGCAAGCTTGTGTTCGTATTCTGACTCTCTAGCTTTGGCAAGACTTTTTCGACAAGCTTTGACCCCGACGTTATGAAAGAGGTGTTCCTTGGCCACTTTGAACATTTCTTGCATGCAGAGAGGGTCCTGCAAAAATCGACGTGGGGTAGAAATAGTAAAGACTGTGTGGCCACGCTCTAGGCGTGGAGCTTTTGGGTCACGAGAAACCATAACAACTTGGTTGTCTTCATCTTCTCTGGCTCGTTTGTTACTTTGAATCGCTGTGGCAGCTCCAATTGGGGGCACTGTTGGGGCCAGTAGGGTATGGCTGGTTGAAGCAACAGGAGTATTCGAAGGGCCTCCCTGAAAAACGCAATGGTGGGGTCAGAAATGCTCAAAGCTTGGAATGAAAGATGATTGGGTTATCGTACTATTGATGTAGAGGGCTGGGCCAATGTATATGGTAGAGTTCGAGGTGGCGGATGGTTGCTGGGGATGGGAAATGGTGTGGTGGTTTCCAATAGTCTGTTGATTTTGGAAAGGTGCTTTGGATATCTTGTTCGACTGAACAATTGGCCTTTGTGGACATTACCCATGGTCTCAATTGTCTTTTGTGAGCATCTCAGCTGGGTGCATGAACACAAGATATGAAGGGGACCCAGGGCAACAGCATGGGATCCCAGAGTGAGTGGCATACTGTGGCAAAGATGTGAAGGTGTAGTAGGTAAGTGGATGGTGTTGGTGGGGAGTGGTGCAGCTAGGTATCAGAGCCCAAAAGAGGTCAAAAGGTTACATGTTACATGTCTGAACACATGTAATTCTCTTTGTGTAAGTGGTATTAGGGTTAGGGTGACATAGTACATTGAGTACTATAGTGGTTTTTTGGAGGCTGTGTTCAACATTGCAGACAGTATTGGGACGTTACATCATTTTTTGTTGTCATTGTGGATACATCTTTGTTATTCACCTTACAGTTGTGGTTGCAACATGAAGCACACCAAGCCAACAAGCAGTAGTTACAAACTTTTGGTATAAGGTACATTGGTTTTTTTAGAAATGAACAGCACAGCGCACAAACAAGCAAAAAAAGATGAAAAACTATTCGAGGCCTGCTTGAGGCATCATTGTCTGATTACCAGTAGAAACTGGATGAAATGGGCAGTCATATGGGTTATCAAGGTATGGAGCACCTGTCAGCACAGGCCTCATCTGACAGAAGGTGGCCAAGTCTCTTTGCATGGCTTGAGCAAGCAGGAGTTTTGAACACTCCTTGGGATGCCATTGATCCAAATTTGAGGGGTCATTCATCCCAGCATTTGCTAAACCATCTGATGAATCAAATCCTTCAGGGAAAAGAGCTTCACGTATGAGCCTGAGCAAAAAATCCTGCGTGTGTTTCCAGAATGGCTCTTCAATAGGATGTTCCCCTTGAATTCGGGTGACTAGGACAAGGAAATGCGGAAGCTTGCAGAGTCCAAACCGTTTGGGATCGCGAGGAAAAAGTAAAAGTCCCTTGACGCCAGAGGTGAGAAAGGCAACCAAGTAGCCGAATGAAACTGGTGGAATCTGGCCCGCACCTACTGACTTGGTGAGGTTATCATAATCCGCGTCAAGTTGTTCGTGTTGCTGTTCAGGCGCTTGGAAGAGCTGTTCGACATGACGAAGCCGGGCTTGCAAACTAGCAAGAGCCTCCAAAATGCCATAAATTTTGGTCACCAATTCCCACATGGCAATAACACACTCGCGTACAGTAGTACTACTGGTACATAGTTGAAGCTGATGATAATGATGGGCGGCCCTGAGACCATTGGCAATTTTGATGTTGGGACACGAATCCGGAGTAACTGCTGGCGGCGGTTGGGAATCCACGTTCTCCATCTTGCAGTATGCAACAGCCGCGAGAACATATCACACACCCTGATCTATCTTAGGTGTCGAGCTGTGGCAAAGAACCCCGAGGATCTCGTGCACATACTGGGTGTGCGCATCCTCATTGGTGGGACCCTTCTTGATAAGTTCCGTGTTGTCGAGGCGAAATATGTCTGCTCGGTGCCATGGCGCCTCAGCAGCACATTGAAACAGGCGCATATCTACATAGTAATATGATGGATGTCAGCATTCTCTAATGATGCGGTTCACAAAAATGCTAACTTACTTGGATCCTTGCTAAGCCATGTATGGACACACAGCTTGCTTTTGGGCAAGATCTTGAAAGGTGGTGTGGGTGAAGCTCCCACCTCCAACGCCGCGTTGTCGGTTCCTCATTTCCTCAACCGCAACAAGCCCAGTGCCGCGTGATAGATACCTGAGACATTGCTGTTGTCGATAACCTTTTTCTCCACAGTCATCTTGGTTACCTTGAAGGGCGCGGTGTTGTCAACCACCCAAATTGAACGGGATAGTGATACCTGCCAAACATCAGGGTTAATTGGGATCGGTACGCCGCCTGGTGGAATACCTCCAGGTGGGTTGATTAGAACCGCTGATGAGGCCTGGTAAGATGTGGAGGCATCTTTCGCAGGGGCCTTGTCATGTAGTGACTGCCTCATGTTAGGGGATAGAGACGAAGGAGATGACTCCTGAGGTATCGTGGGAATCAAACCAGGTGAACCCAAGGGTGCAGGGGGCTCAGCCAGTGATTGGTCTGGAATACACGTGGTGAGTGTAGTCTGGGCTTGAAATGGCAATTCTTTCGCCATGGCTTCGATCGTGTGCGGCGTGGTCGCCTCTTGTGGTTGCAAGGCCGTTGCAGCCTGCAATAAATTTGTAGCTGGGTGGGGGGCCTCGTCTGGCCCCCTCATAGAGAGTTCCCCTGGAGATGGGGGTTGGGGAGTTGGCACGACTGCAGAGGGCGGCTGAGCCGAAGCGCCGTCTACAGCAGGAGCTGGAAGATCCGAAGGGGCGGATTGGACCCTCTGACCTTGCACAAAATCTTTGATGGTCTGAAACTTGGTCTTCAGGAGCAGATCGTAGCTCGGACTGGCCCAGTAAGCCTCAGCTCGTGACAACATGACCCATCGGCGGAACAAGCCTTCAAACCCGTTTGGGCCCCTTCGAAATCGTTGGGGGACCTTGTTTTTCTAAAGGTGCAAGTCTAATTCATTGACAAATAAACCCCACGAGCCATCTTCATCAAGTTCAGAGACTGTGAGCCGGAGGGGATGATCGAAGAATAGCGCGAATTGATCAGTTGCAGTTCCAATTGGGATGTTGGTTGGTAGACGTAAATGGTCTTCAATCAATGTGATTTCTCATTCTAGGTCCTCAGGGAGCTCGGAGTATCCTTCGTCAGAAGACTGGCTGTCCTCCGTTGCGCAGGCTTTGTTGGCAGCGGGAAGGGAGGTTGCCTCGGCCGGTGCTGGCCCATCAGCATATGGTTGTGCGAGGGGCGCATTGGGCGCGACTGAATGGGGAATGCCTCGAGGAGGAACCATCTGCCCAATGAGTTTCTCCCCGTGTTTCAAGGCCGTCAGCAGGGGATTCAAACAATCGTGCAAGTCACAAAGATCCTGCGGGCCAAATCCTGGGGTGTTCCTTACACCTTGGAGCTATGAAAACATCAACGAGTATGCGTCGAGTCCCCGCCGCAGATTCGTAAGCAGTTTGCTCTGATGGGGGGCCGTGTCCCACGTGGCTTTGACATAATGCGAAATCGAGAGGTGAACACTACGATCAGGTGGCATTTCAAAAGGTTTCGAGAATAGGGTGTAGAATGGATCCGAAGGATTCGCGGTCATTGGAGGATACCAGCTTGGGTGCTGTGCAAAATCCAGGATGTCACTGCTGATGCGGCGAAAACCGCCTTCCGCTCGCTTGAGCTCAGGGTTTTTAGCTGGCGGTGGAGGTGAGGGGACACGAGCCGGAGGCAAGGCAGGTTTTGAGGGCCGGCGTCTTTTTGCAGGGCGTTCAGTCCGGCCGCCGGAAGTGTCGATTGCTTTGAGGATCCCAGCCTGCTTGGCTGTCCGGCTGGGATTCACTAGTTTCTGGGTGTGATCCGAGAAGTTGGAAGTTTTAGGGAACTTGCCGCCCTGAGTGGTCGATTCCTTCGGTGTCTTCGGGGTCAACTTCTTCTGAGGCTCCTGCAAGCACGCGTTGGCCGAAGGGGTTTGAAATTGCGTGGGTGTTGGTACGGAGGGAAGAATCGTATTCGTATGGTTGGCAGAGGATTTGCGTAGAGACGCGCGTCTCTTGGCCGGAGGTTCGTATTCCTCGTCGGCTTCCGGTGATTCGGGGCAAAACTCCTCCTCTTCACCGGAAGGTTCGTCGCCGTCGTCAGATTCGGCAGCTTCCTCTGCCGGCATTTCAGGCCGGAAGAGAGGCGTTTGGGGTGGTGGGTTGCCCATCGGTTCATCGGCGTCTTCGTCCTCCATGGTCACCCCTAGTACCTGTACCAGGGAGTTCCGCTCGTTGCGGTACGTGCGGTTCTTGATACCTGTGACTCAAAAATTGGAATGTCAATAAAAGAAATACATGGGGTGAGTCCTTGTCACTTACTTTCAAGGACGCCCTCAATATGATACCCAGTGTCCCTCAGAGACTCAAAAATATCGTTGGTGACCTTTTGTTCCTCCAAAGAAGCGGCAATCCAATCGCGTTGATGAATCAACATTCTTTGGAAGGACTCGATGTCCAAATGGTACGTGACACCATTCAACAACAAGGCCTGCGTGCTGGTGAGGATCACTGAAAATGTTCACCGTCAGCGCGTGTCGGCGAGGTGTACATTAGTAGGTGTACTCACGCTTCTTGTCCTCCTCAGCAGCGTTCGTTTGCTCATTGCCCTCTTTTTGGGAATCCACAGGCAACCGGGCTTCCTCGTCCTTGTCTTCTTCGGAGCTCAAGGAGCTTTTGGTATCATCATCGTCGTCATCTCCATCGTGCGTGGTGCGCGTAAGAAGCACCAGGTTGATCGTTTTCCCCCGGTGTTGAGGTCGCTGTCCGACACTTCCGAGCATCGAATTTAACCTGTAAAGTTTGAACAACACGCGGTCAGTTTCAAAATCAAGCTAGTTATAAGCAAAAGTTTCATGAAAACAATCGAGAAAACGTACGTGGGGTGGGAAAACGAAACGGAGAGGCGTGGGAATGGGTATTAGGGGATTGTCGTTAGATAACCTGAAACGAGGGGTGGCGGTGAGAGTTTGAGGCGTGGGGCGGGAGAAAGGGATCGACGGAAAGGTACGGTTGATAGTTGGTTACAGGTGGATTGGGGTTTCATCGAACCACGAGGAAGGAATAGTGACCCGGCCCGGGTCACGACCCGGTGCGGTACCGCTGCTAAGCCGCAGCAGTTGGGTAGATGATCTACCTTGTCACCAAACATACAGTATGACAACCCCGTTCTCCTTGTGCGGGTATTTTAGTTAGATCCTGATCTGCTATCCGGACGGGTATTCCAGCCTAAACGGGGCCGCCAAGTCGCAACTTGGCGGGCCCGATCACACTACTACGGGTATTCATAGCTTGACGAGGCCGCCAAGTCGCAACTTGGCGGCCCCGTTAGCCTCACACGGGTATTTCAGTCAGACCGGGGCCGCCAAGTTGCAACTTGGCGGCCCCGTTTCCCTCAAACAGGTATTTCCGTCAAACATCAAGGCCGCCAAGTCGCAACTTGGCGGCCTTGGTGCAGGTATTTTTGGATACCTTCATCATCAATCAGCGCTCACCATTGTAAAAAAATGACATCGGGGTTCACTCAATGATTCCCAATGCATTCTTCATCAACAGATATCCTTGTGGATGAATAATGCATTGGGAATCATTGAGTGATCAATGAATCACTCAATAATTCCCAATAACATTCTGCTGAATACACAGCGTGTAATCTGTCTGACACTGACCAATGATCACCATTATTCAAAATAATGAACTTTTGAAGTAATAGTAGACTGTTGTTATGATTGAAACAACAGTCTACCATGACATGTATTGTGCATGTAATGCTGAACTATTTGTTCCAGGGGGATTAACCACCCATCATCAGTCAAAACACTTAAGTGGTAAGAAATGTGAACAGTTTGAACATCCTGTTCAATGGAGTATTAAATTTATCTGTTCTTCATGTGCTGAATGAACCCGAAGAGCATTCCAACTCCACCAATGATATACAACTTTACGTACTGAAAGGAAGGTGTATACACTACTTCCAGATGGGGAATTGCGGAGAGAAAGGAAATACAACATCCTAACTCTCAAATGAACCTTGAAGTAAAGGATTATCTTAATTACCAAACATGACTTGCCAATTGATTTCAGGATGACTTGACCCATGTAATTATCATGACTTGCCTATATTGATCCCTTTAAAAGTGCTTGATATCATGCAGCCACCATTTCGAAGTGGATTTCAGTCATGTACAAAACTTTCTCCAATATCTCTTCAATCCAAACCTCTGAATCCACCTCTGCTAGCGCATACCAATCTGCTTGATTTAACATTCCTCATTCTGAAGTCTACTCAATCAAACAACTTCACCTCATCACAATTTCTTCAGCAGTTTTACACATCATCTAGTGACAATGAACAGGAGTGAAGCGGAAGAAATTCAAAGAATCCTTGAAAGAAACTCTATTCTTTACGCATATGCACAAAAAATTAGATTAGCTCAAGATCTTTGGGAGCGCAGAATTCGGCTCATCCAGCTTCAAGAAGAGGTTGAAGGACAAGTTCCAGCCATCAGTGTTATTGGGTTGATTCAAATGACCCGTCATTTCAAGGATGTTGTAAAGGAAGCTAGAGAATTTCTTTTCACCTATTGATGCTTATTTGGCGCAGCAGTCAAAATTCAACCAATGGATTTCAATGTAAGTTCTCATTTGTCCCATAATAATTTGCAAGGATTGTATGGCTACTGAATATATTAAAAGTTTGTTGCCCCCTTTGCATTTTCAGCAATATTAATGGCAGTATGACCCCTGGCGTAGACGCAAACACAGTAGAATCTATTCCCTTATGAACCAGGAAGAGTTTGGCAATATTTAGCTCAATATACGTCATATGCTTGTTTTCTGCTTTGCAACTTTGGTAACATCAATCCTTCAGAGCCCAGAAATTAGCAAAGATAAATGAAATTGATTGCAACATGGAAACAATTGGACATGAGCTCAACCATCACAGAATTGATGACTTTCTTCCATTTATTTCTCCAACCAACTTTAGTTTCCTTCTGGCCTTTTTTACTCTGAACCAGCTTGTTGATTAGAATGGAGGAAGTTTTTTTTGTCACAGTTTGAATTTCACTTTCTTCCTACTCAAGTGTTGAGTTTTATCTATTGAAATACTTCAAGAATCACCTCTACCAGCCTAGGAAATTGTCCTCTAGCCCACCTACATGTAGCCAGTGCCTGCAATGAGCTACACACTGGCCTCCTCCAGTTTTTTGCCACTGCTCTTTATTTGCCTCATTTTTTGTGAGACCCACTTGGATTTGCAAACATTCCAAAACATGATCCTGGACAAAGGGAAAATTTTTCCCCTGAAGAAAACCAATCCCACTGCTCAAAATTATTTCCTCCTGCTAACCAAAATCTTTCAACTATTCCTTACATTTTAAATCACTGATTCTCTTCTCCTCAAATCAACTTGGAGGAAGAAAACTTCATATTGACATTTTGGACATATCACCTTGATCAGCTTGATTATAACCTCTCTATATATATATCTTAACCCCACAGTTTCCAAACACAGAATCGACTGATGGAAGGAAACACAGGTATTTTCATTCAAATTAACCTTGCTCATCAACTTAGCTCATCCACTAATTTGACACATATTATATGTATTACACCTTGTAGATACTAGCAATGCGTCGGGCTCTGGAACTGGAGCTGGAGCTGGACCTGCTGGGCCAGAAATTGATCCCATCATGAATCAAATAAATGGTAAGGGCAGCTGTTCTTCAAGTGTTTTGGGTTTCCCACCACTCAGCTGACATCTCCATACATGTACCAACCTTTTTCACAGACTATCCAGAAGAGGAACCTGGACTCACTTTTGAACAACGTGTGGCTCTTCAGATTGCCAAGGAACGGGACACCCAACGGAGACAACAACAGCGGAAAAACAAATCTGACGGACAGCGTGCTAGGAAAGAGCCCAATACAGACGATATCAAGCTTGTAGGACTCACCTCTGCTCTACAAGAGTGGGCTAGGGCCCTGCTTGGTCTACCTCAACAATCCAGTAGCACCTCTTCAAAAATCACTGCTGCTGCTGTACTCCAACGCCACCTTCCAGCTGAAGCTACTGCTGAAGAGGTTGAGCACTGGACTCAATATTCTACTAAACGAACTGAATATTTAGACCTCAATATCAAACAGAAGATGGACGAAATTTTTTCAAAAAACCCCTCTGCAACTGAAACTGTCAAGCATGTCACCAAAATCAAAGTGACCAAGGAAGCCGTTCAGATGTTCTTGAAAGCATTTCCACCTGAAAAATTTGTATCTCAAGTAGCCCATTCAACAGCCTCCATCACCACCTACAATGCTACTCGTTTATCTTCAGCTGAATCCAAATTTTCTGAATGTGGCTTCTCTCAAATCACTTTCCAATGGACCAGCGCAGCCAAAACCCCTTGGAACATGGCAATGTTAGACACCTTAATTACTACCTGGTTAGATTGTTACCATGCTCGAGGTGTACCATCCGGCTTCCTAATTGACTCCACTTTCAATATTACACTCGAAACCAGGAACATACTTGTCCGCTGGGTTACAAACAAGCGCAGAACCTATCACGATGAGGAGAAGGAGAAGAAGTTGGTCTCTACCCCTGGCGGACCTGAACAACTGGTCAAGAAAAAACTTTCAGCCAAGGAGAAAGCAGCTTTGAAAGCCATGAGGAAAAAGGTAGAATCCCCACATTATCACCCCTTGTGAAGGCTCCATACTGACTTGTGGAAGTGCAGCTTTGTGAAAAAAGGGCTGCAGCAGTAGAGCCCTACTTTTGTACATTTGTGGGTCCATTCAAAGTACTACTCAGCTCCCAAGAGGTTCATTATGAGACAGAGATGGACCCAGAAAAGCCTGGCAAATTTAGGAAGGTCAAGCTCAACTGGCGGTCACCATTGCTGGACGAATTGACCACTCTGGCTGATAGTGCTGCTCCCAAGAGGGAGAAGACTGACAAAGGCAAAGAACGCCTCAAAGAATTTTTCACATCCAGAGGGGAGTATTCCCCACATGTTCCTGATCCTGAAGATCAACTTCCTCCTAAGGCTCTGCCAAAATGCCTCATCAAGGAATCAATACTGAGTGAGGGTATTGATGAGATCACCATTGATAGTTTGGAGTTGTCAGAGACCCCAGTGGATCTCCAATCAGCCATTGAGGTTTTGAGAAAGAAGCTTGGAAAAGGCAACTTCATGACAGTTTCTTCTTGATTTGCTGCTCAGGGACTTCACTGCCCGCATATTAACCTCGGATTGGGAAATCCGAGGCGTTCTCGGATCTGAAACCCCGGACAGAAGCTATCCAAGGTAATCTTGGGCGCATAATGATACCTCGGACAGAAACCTCGGATAAGATCTGTCCGAGGATTTGCATCTGACGATACCTCAGATCTCCCGATCCGAGGCATCTATGTTGGTGGTGCTTGTGTTAAGTTAGAAGTTTTCACTTTTGTTCTTATCATATTTGGAATAGCTTTTCTCTTTGTTTACAAATCAGTCTCAGTTCCATATGCCAAAATGTGATTCAACCTCATGTCAACACACATGTAACGTACAACAAGCTGCAAGAGTCAAGCACGTGTGACAAAGGAATTATGACACTGTAATTACAGTCATGGGTGTCACAGCTTGTGAAACCTGTGCCACCTATGATTGTAATTACAGTTATCAAATAGTTGACAATGAATCAACCTTGCCCTTCTGACATAGCTTTAACTGCCAAATGACCTGCAGTCCGCCAAACTGATCATCAACATAGTTTGGAATTTCCAGGTGGCTCACAGTTTGACTAGATCATTTCCACAGCTGCCACCACCAAAATAACACCATGGGTATGTTGCTTGCGCTTCTTCATTTCCTTATGCACATGAATTAACAAGGTTACATCCTACTCAGCATCGCTGTCCGCAAACCCTGACCCAGAAAGGCTCAATGATGGCAAACCCAAAAGTCGAAAAGCCAAAAATCGCTCTTATGCCAAAATACTACCCAAATCAAATGGCTCAACCTGCAAATCTATGGCTGAGTTCACACGATTTCTACTGGGCCACACCAAAGATAATCCACACTTCCCCAACCCCCCAACTGATCACCAAATTATTACACTACAACCTCTATCAAAGGAAGACATAATGAATGATGACTCAGTCTTTGTCAACTTCAGCTCTGAAAATCACCCAAATCCATTGGACTGGAGCGTATTCAAGACCCTTCTGTACATTGATATGGCCAACAAGCAAATTGAAGGTCCTTTTACGTTTGATTGGGAAGCTGAGGAAGGTGAAGATGCTGCATGGAATCAAGTTATGATTTTTTTAACTGTGAAGCATTGGATGTTTTCCAGAAGGGCATCTGCATTTCAAAAGTTTGGACTTGATGTTGAATGGGAGAAGGAGGTTATTTATATTGGAATTGTTACTTGCTGGGTTATTGGACAAAATGAAGAATGGAAGAATAAGTTTGACACACCAGAGAAGATTGCACAACGGGAGCGCAGCAGGAAGCGACGAGATGTAAGTTTCAAAACGTTTTGAGAACCTGTCAAGTTTCCATACATGTACTGAACCAGTCTATAGCTTTGTGTATATCGTTGATCTACCATCAATGAATACTTAAAGGACTTCATCGACCTCCTTCCCGCTACCACCTGTTGTTCAGATACTGAGGATGATGGACATGGTCAACAGCGCTCAATTCGGCCAGAATGGCGCAGTGTCGCATATGGAGAGTGGCTTCATAAGATTGATAACCTTTCTTATAATCATCAAGCCAATGTTAAGTTGAGAGCTGTAGCAGCTCGGAGGTTCGATACGCGACGTCAGGTGGGCAACAAGATCAATCCTTTGGCCAAAGTGTGTGGTAGTCTTCCAGAAAACTGTTATGATAGTGAGTTCTTGAGGCAATGTGGTGAACTGGAAAAATTGGATTGGGGATTACAAGCAACCCCTCGCGTCTTGAAGATGCAGTGCGGGCTGTGTCTGACCTTGTAAATTAAATTAACTCCTCCAACTTAGAAACATATGTTACATGAAGTTTCTCCAAGTCAACATTATTCACTGGGTATCTGGATGCAATAAGATTTTCAACCACACGATCCAAGCCAGGATCCATTGCAAGCTCTATCAGTTGTTGAGAATTTTACATCTGACTGTTGCACAATGAAAATATTGACTAACCTGTGTAAAAACAAGAGACCAGAGGGAAGATGTGGGTACATAATGTATGTAGGAGGTTTTTTTGTTGTTGAACATCAAGAATTTCATAAATGACCAATGAATTTCCTTTGGGAATCTGTATTTGCCAATTTGAAGCCTTAATAATGTCCATTAGTTGAGGGATTTTACCCCCAGAATTTCCACCTTGTAGTGAAAACAGTGTCAAATTATGTCAAACCAGATTTGATTGATAGAAGATCTGGAAAATTTTTGGTTGAGTAAATAAACCACATGGTCATGATGTATACATCTCTGAGGTTCAACAGAGAATGATCTATGGAACTCAAGGTGTAAGAGAGTCTATATTCACACAGCCAAAAAAATTGTTATGATTAGACACTGGGAATTGATTAATCCCAAAGTAGACAATGTAGAATTTACTTATGTTATTTTATAAAATCAATGCTTCAATGGTATGTACATGATTGGCCCAAATGGAACAAAAGAATCAGGCTCTTGCATCTTGTTAACTAATTGAGTACCATTTTGGGTCTATGTAGCCAAATCATTTTACCTGTCTCCCAGAAGTTATATTTCCACTCTTATTCTTAAGGATTTTTGAGCTGAAGAGGTCAAGCCATCCAGGCTTATGAGACTCTCACCACATTATTTTGACAAAACCTTTGATGAGTTCTTGCTCAGGCACTTTTTATGTTGGTCAATGAGTCATATCCTTCATCTGTTAACTTTCTTTTTGCAGGAGAAGGCTTTTTTTGGAAGGTGTTGAGAAGTATATTTGCACATAATACTTGTGTGGTATCTGACAATTACTCAAAACTTCCAGATATTCCGCCAACTTCATGTGTGGAATTTCAGCTAAACTTCATTTCAGTTAATTTTGGAAGAATGTTTGTCTGTTACTTCAGGGCAAACATTGAGATTGGATTGATATTGAACTGGAATTGAATTTGCATTGGATCTGAATTGGATTGAAATTGGATTGAACTGGGTGTACTCACTGGCCTGCCAGTGCCCAGTAAAATGTCACTGTGCTTGAACCTTGCAAAACTTCTAGCAACAAGAACAGTAAAAAATGATTTCATTGTCATCACATCTTTTTCCCTTTTATAAATTCCCAACAATACAAAAAGACCCTAAATTACCTTGTGTGCATTCTTACGATTTACCTTCCAACTTTGATAAAAACTCCAAAAACATCTGTCTTAGCTTTTTGTCTCTGTTAAAACTGATCAGGTGTAAACCGGCCTCAGGCAAAGCACATACAATTCGATTTCACAGTTTGACTTGAGTCATTGTACATGGTCAAGATGCAGAATTGTTACTTGACAGTGGAGCATCTTGCTCTGTGGTGGGGAACCACTACTTAAACAACCTTATTCCTAGTAGTTGGTACCGGGTATTAACAGATTGGAATAGGTGTAAGGCAAAGGACAACAAGGCAGGGGTAAGAGGTGTGGGACACCCATCTCGACAGAGGTCCAAAAAAGTTGGCATCACGGCATCTGCTCATATGAGAGGATGTGCGTCAAGGAAAGCCCAAGGTCCAAGGACCCGCTCGTGTTTTTCTTCTACTTTGTCTCCAGTTGTTTCCCCTCTCGCTGCTGTCCTCTCAGCTCGTTTTTGTTCCCTCAATCCAAAATAAAATCCACGCTTCGACATACACATCAAAAGTTATATACAGTTCTAGATTTCCTTTTTTCTCAATACAATCCTTATCACTTAGAAATCTCTGCTCTTACTTCGTTTCCGTAAAAGCCAGAACTGTCACTTTTTTGTTTCAATCTTATTTATCTTCTATTTTTATCTTTCAATATTTTTTGTTTTCCGCCCACCACCCTCTTGTCAGACAAGGGTTTAAGTTTCAGGCCGCCGTTATCACTTTCTCTTCTCAAAACCGAAGTAGGGGGGCGCTCCAGTGGAGCGGCTCAGCACCAGATGCGGCCACCCACAGCACTTCAGTGTGCCGACCACATGACGCAATCTAGGCCTCAGGGCCAAGCTCTGTCCAAACCACACCACCCCCGTGCCCACCAAGCCACACAGATTCCAGACTGGAAATTGAAGTTAATGCCTTGCAATAACAACATGAAATTTTCCGGTTGTAGTGGAAGTTTGTTCCCACTAGGAATTATAAAACTTGAAGTTTTATTTCCGCATAAACAAGGAGGCATTCAAATAGAAGCTGAATTTGTGGTTATGGAAAATTCCCACACCAAGTATTTCATACTGGGGGATGAACACTTGTCCATGTACGGAATTGGTATTTTTCATAGCAAAGACAAATTCTTTACATTTGTTAATGATGTAAAGAAAAAGAAGTTTGGTTTACCACTTCAAAGACCAATTCTTTCAGGTTCACAAGTCAAGAAAGAGAAAATCAATGAACTTGATAATGAACAACCTGAAGTAGAGAAAATCTCCTGTAAGAAGAAAGATGATTTGATGCCTAAAATCAATGAAGCAAAGTTTAGTCCCAAACTTTCAAAAGAGGAAAAGGATGCATTTGTTAACCTCATTCTCCAGTACAAAGATGAGTTTGGATTGGGTGAAAAAGAATTAGGTATTATTGAAAAGCATCAAGTAAGCATCAAACTTACAATTGAGAAACCTTATCCTCCAATATTGAGGAAAGCTGCCTATCTGGCTAGTCCTAGAAATCGGGTAGAAATTGAAAAACACATAGACAAACTTCTTAGACTAGGTGTAATTAGGAAAGTGGGAAGTTCTGAGGAAGTTGATGTGACCGCACCTATTATAATAGCCTGGCATAACGGCAAATCACGCTTGTGCGGAGACTTTCGAGCTCTCAATACGTACACAGAGCCTGATAGATATCCATTACCCAGAACTGAACATGTCTTGCTTAATTTAGGAAAAGCAAAGTTCATCACACTGATGGACGCATTGAGAGGTTTCCACCAAATGATAGTAGAACTGGCAAGCAGAAGATATCTAAGAATAATCTGTCATATGGGAATATTTGAGTTTGTGAGAATGCCGTTTGGAATAAAAAATGCGCCTGCCTTCTTTCAAAGA